AATATCTTCTAAATGGAGATTATTTTGCTCTTGGGTTTGGGCTAGTTCGGCGGATAGTTGCTGATTTTGCTCTTTTTGGCTAGTCAGTTCCTCGTTTTTAGCTTGAATTTGCCCTTGATAGGTTAATTCCTTTTCCGTTCATTCGGCCTTATCATTCTTTCAATGGCTTTCTAGGTGGTTTAAGAGTTCGGTGGCTTGTTTTTGCTTAGTTATTTTTTGTTTGGCGAGGTTTAATAGCTGAGCTTCTAAGTCGTTATGCTTTTGCTGATTAAGGGCTAATAAGTTTTTAAGGGTTTGTCCTTGTAAGAGAGCTTTTAAGTCGGTCAGAGTATGAATATCCTCCTTCCCTAAAACTTCCACTAAGCTATCGAGGGCTTTTTGTAGGTTTTCGTTTTTTTCTCGTTCTTGGGCTAAGATTTGGGCGTCAATGGAGTTTTCTAAGTTAACTAGGTCTTGCTGTAAGATATCTTTTTGTTGGCTTCACTTGTGTTTCTCTTGCTTTAAAATGTGCCGTAATTGGCGTTCGCGGTAGTTCATATTAGCCTCCTTTGATTTTCACTCCGGCGATGTCTTTGAAGCTGCTGACTTTAAACTTCTTAAAAAAGGCTTTTTGTTCGTTTAGTTCTTCATTACGGGTTTTAACTCAGGGTTTCATTTTGCTTAAAAAGTCTTCCGCGGATTTAAGGGGCTGGTCGCCTCATTTTCATTCGTTAAGGATAGAGTGGAGGTCGTTTTTAAAGCGGTTCCGCTCTTGCTCTAACTTTTTTATTTGCCCGGGGTTGCCCGGTTGCCGGTAAATATACTGGGTGATTATTTTCATACATATCTCCTAAACAGTTCCTTTCACCAAAGCTCATGAGTTAGTAAAAGGTATCATGCCGCCCACGACTTCCACATGATAAGCAAACTTTTCCATGCCGCCGCCGAGGGTTTTTTCATGCTGGATTTCATCGGGGTTGATGATGCGGTAGAAGACGGACTTTTCATCGTGGATGGTGGCTAGGACGTTGTTTTCTAGTTTTTTGACGATAACTTCTTTAAATAGCTTATAAGGATTAAGATTACTATCGCGGGCGACATCGGCAAGGAAGTGAATTTCCAGGTCGTCCAAGAAGTCCGGGTCGATAGTGAGAACTTTAGACTTTTTATTTTCGCAGTTGGTTTCTACTTCGTTTCAGGTGGTGTCGCCGGGGCGTTGGTAGCCTTTGTTGAATTTGGTCGATACTTCGTCCATGGCGTTATAGGCCGCTTTGATTTTTTTTAAGATTACGATAGCTTTGTCTAGGTTGTCAATGTTCGCTTCCTCGGCGGTTATTTCTTCCCAGGCGGAGTCTTTGTAGTTATCTTTATCGGAAATGATTTCTACGAGCTTACGGTTTAAAGCGGTGATGGCTTTGGTTTTCATAGAGTCGATAAGCCGGTCAATAAGAGCCGTTTGGTGGGCGGGGCTTTGGAGAGCTTGTTTCATCTTCTTTTTGTGGAAGATGGTGTTAAAGACTTCGTCCATGAAGATAGGGAGCTTACAAGAGAAAACAGCCGGGAGCTTTTTAAAGTCTTTGCTTTCCAAGTCTTTATTTCATTGGATGCCTTCGAGGGGTTGGTCGGAAATGAATTCGTCTTCGGCGCCGTAGAATTCCGAGGAGCCTTTGTCGAAGACGGCGAAGTCGTTGTTAGCGTAGATTAGCTTGACAGGCTGTTCTTGGACTACTTTTTGTTGGAGGTTTTCTAAGATGGGGTTGTTCATTATCTAGTTCACCCCCTTTCTTCGCTTCATTTTCAGCCTTTTTGCTCTTGGAGTTTAATAAATTCGCTTTTGAAGTCGTTTTGTTGTTTAGTTTGTTTTTTTTCTTGTTCGATGCGGCGGTTCTTACGGGCTTCAAGCTTTCATTCGTCTACTTCCTCGTTTAGCCTTTTATTTTGCTTTTGCAGTTCGAAGATTTCATCATCTTTATCGGTCAATTCTTTTTTGGCTTTTAAGGTTGCTTGCCGGGCGGTTTCAATTTCCAGCTCATATTTGGCTTTTAAATTGGCTTGGTTTTCGCTGATTTGAGCAGCAGTTATTTTTTCTTGGTCGTTCATAATCTCGTTTTTAAGAAAATGGGCTTTAAGGCTTGTGTTTTACGAGAACTCGTCGAGAGGGGGACGAGAGGGGGACGGGGCCCGTCGGGGGTGTTACGAGGTTTTTATTTTTGCTTATTTTGGGGTGATTTTGGCTTTTAAAAATATTGGGCTTATTTTTTTGGCTATGTCATAAAATATTAATATAGATAAAATGAGCCGTCCAAATGATGCTTTTGGATGAAAAACTTCTGTTTATTTTTATACTCTAATTCATTTTATTTATTTATAACTTTATCGATAAAATTTCAAAGAAAATAAAAAAAAAACCTAGCTGGGCGAGACAAAATTTAAAAACAAAAAACTAGCCAATAGAAAAAAAACCAAGTTGGATTAGGAGAATAATGTAATTTAATTTTTTGAAATAGTTGATTTGCTTAAAAATTAATTATAAAATTATGAAAAAAAAATCCTATCCAATCCATATTCGTCGCTATCTAAGTTGAAAAAATTTTAGTTTTGACCTCCGATTTTTCCAGTGCTGTTACCTAGTATTATTAGTTTTTTTAAGCACTTTGGTTTTGAGTGCGGTCTTTTATAAGTTAGAAAAAAACTTCCAGCGCCACGAGAATCCGGAGCCCTTAACTAAAAATATTTCTTCGTCAGATTCTAATTAAAGATATGGATAAAGATTTTATCAGCCAAAAAAATTCAGAAGAAGTTGATCTCTGAACAAGTTTAAAAATTATTTATAATGAGTTTAGATTATCCTTGGTATATACTTTTGGTACGCGGCGGTAAGTAAGAAAAAATTATTGCCCAAATCCAAGAGGAAGCAGTTAAAAATAATGTTTCCGAAAAAATAACCGAATTGTATTTCTTTCCTCAGGCGACCAAGCCCAAAAATTTGCTTTCTGGTTGTGTCTTTTATCAGGGACAATTAGACGAGGATTTAGTGCAATTATTTTATAAAGTCCCAGGAGTAATTAGGTTCTTAGACCATTCCGGAGAAGAAAAAGAGTTACCTTCTCCTTTATCGCCCCAAAAAGTTGCCGAATTTTCCGACCTATTAAAGAAAATAAAAAAAAAAGGGGGCGATTACGATTGGGCTAAGGACCAAGAACCTAATCTCCAAATTGGCGACTGGATAAAGGTTATTAAAGGACCTTATATAGGTTGCCAAGAGAAAATTATTGCCCTTGATGAAGAAAAAAAATTAATTACCGTTAATGTTGATTTTTTTGGCCGGCTAACTCCCGCTAAAATTTTGATGACTGATTGTATTAAAGAAACCAAATAGCCTTTTTATTATTTTTTCTTTACGGTCTTTACTTTCTTTTTTTCCCAAACCATCACGTTAGAAATATGGAGCGGAACTAAAACATCTTTTAATTGACTTTTTTTTTTGACGTCGGGGGCTTTGTTATAGATTTTCCGCGTTGCTTTGGCTAAGTAAATTTTTTCTTTTTTTGGCTCTAAATGCTGGATATTATCCACCAGACCACGAAATTTGCCAGTAATTACTTTTACTAAATCACCTGTTTTTAATTTGTGCTTCATTTTACTTATAAGTTTTTTTTAATAGGCCAACATTTTTTTGCTAACTATTTTCATCTTTTTTGGTAAATGTTTAAAGCATTGAGAAAAATATTTCTTTACTTCTTTTTTTCCAGAATCTTGTGCCTTATTCATACTAGATAAAATTTTAAACAATCTCCTTAGCCAAAGAAAGTATTTTCTTATAGCCTCAACTTTCAAATTCCTGTAAAATTGGTGCGGAGATTCAAGTGCCGATTAATTGCCGGTCTTCTTCTTTTTTTACCAAAACTGCATAATTTTCGCTAAAACTAATATGACTTCCACTGACCCGACGAAATCCTTTTTTACTCGTAACAATTAAGGCCTTTACTACTTGTCCTTTTTTTATTACGCCAGTTTTTACATTATCTGCCTTCGGATTTACTTTTTTTATCGTGGCAATCACTAGATCGCCAATATAACTATAGCGACGGTTAGAACCTCCTAAACAACGAATAACTAATAATTCTTTGGCTCCGGAATTATCGGCCACTAAAAGACGAGATTCATTTTGAAACATTATAATATAATTTTACATGTTTTTGCCTTTTTTCCTGCTTCTAGAAGCAATAATAAGTCCTAAAATTAATACTCCACCAATTGCTAAACTGGCTCCAATTGGCAAAATTAAGCGGCTGGAATTTTCGGAAACAAATTCGTTTTTACCCTGTTTATTAATAAGATTATTTTGGCTAGATATTTTATTGTTTTTTAGTTCTTTTTCTTTAATATTAAGGCTACGCAAAAAACTTTGGAGAGCTAATTTATTGTCATCTCAAAACGCTAGGGATAAGCGACGACAACTTTCCTCATGGTCTACTCAATTATATCTTATAAATTTATCACTAATTTTAAACTTTCCGTCGGCCCGGCCCGGAATACCTGGGCAATTTCCGGTGGTAGTGGTGTTAATTTCCTCATTAAGTTTTCTACCTAATATCAGTTCTATCGTGGGCTGAACTACTTCTTGCTTATATTTGACTTCCCGAGCAGATTTGGCGAATAAATATAAAAAACTCATATCTATATCAGTATTATATTCTTTTTCTCAGGCTTTTTCCACTATTTCCGGTTTGGCAAGATAAGGTTCCAATTCTTGGCGAGTTTTTTTGAATTAAGTTTAAGAGAGTTTCATTACTAGGTAAATCTCTTTTTGCGTATTCTAGTTCACTATATTTTTCTCATTTATCTTCAAATTCACTAATTTCGTCATCAATTTGGTTTCCCGCCTTTTTTTCCACTATTTTGGCTTCTCCTCTTTCTATTAACTTTTTAATAAGAAATTTTTCTTTCCATTTATTACAGCAGGAAAAACAATAATTTGCTCTACTTGCGGCATAGCCCTTCACGGGAGCACCAACAATAAGATAATATTTACCCGCCAACTCTTTCTTACAAACTAAGCAATTACGCTGTCTTGGCATGTAAAATATTTTTTACCAAATTTTTTATGACTAACTTCTAACCCTTGCAAATTTTTTTCACTCTGCCCAGGCTTATTTTTTTGGCCTATTCAGTTAATTTATGATTTAATCATTATGGCTTAAAGGTTAAAAAACTATCATGTTCTTTGATTCTCCTTTGTTCGTTTTTTTATTTTCCTTGTTTATTAGTTTCTGTGTGTTTCTTTTGCCACTTAACCAAAAAATACTTTCTAAATGGCTGTTTGCGTGCTTTGGTATTTCCCTGCTTTCTTTGAGTTTTATTCTTTATAAATGATGAAAATACGATAGTTTAAAAGACGCGAAGGGAATAGGCAGAATGATTTTGATTGTTCTTACTTGTTTATTATCTTTTTCTGGTTTATGCTTATTGACTTTATTTTGGCGGCGAAAGGTTAATAAAAAAATTTGTTGAATTGATAAGACACTATTGGCTGCTTTTGTTTTCCCTTTCCTTTTTGTGCTTGCTTTTTATTTATTAGTTTCTTTCTCAGAACGCAGCAGAATATAAATGTGGTAGGTAAGGATTAATTATTTTCTCGCTTGTTGTTACTGGCTTAAAAACTAATATGACTGATTTTAACCGTTGACCCCAAGATTGCCTCTGAGATTTAATAATTCCTCATATATAATTAAAAAAAGAATTGGCCGAAACTCCTTGTGGAGAAGGTTTAGCGGTATTAAAATTGATTTAAAAGATTTAGAAAAAAAAGTTAAATATTCAATTATCTCCGACTGTAATTAAGCAAATGGAGCAAGCTTCAACTACCAATAATTAACTACGGTGCGGAATGCCGAAATTAAAAAATATCTACTCCAATCAGTTCTTAATTTAATAACAGTTCAATCGCCAAGCAAAGAAACAGTCCTCTCATCCGAGAAAGATGAAGTTGAAAAAAATCAACAAAGTAACAGTAAAAACATAAAAATATTATATTATATGTCAACTATTAATCAATTAGTTAGAAAACCGCGCCGAGCCAAAAAACTTCGCCGAAAAAATCAAGCCTTAGCAAGCGGTTGGAATAGTTTAAAGCGTGCCCAATTTGAGCAACCTAGTCCCCAAAAATCGGGAAACTGCAAAAAAGTCGGTAAACTAACTCCCCGTAAACCTAATTCTGCCTTTCGCAGTTTTGCTCGTGTAGAATTAAGTAATAAAAAAGTAGTAACGGTCTATGTTCCGGGCGAAGGACATAACCTCCAAGATTTTTCGGCCGTGCTCGTTCAAGGCGGCGGAGCCAAGGACTTAGCCGGAGTAAAAAATAGTGTAATACGCGGAGTAGCAGATGCCGCCGGAGTAAAAGGACGAAAACAAGGTCGTTCAATTTATGGAGTGAAGAAACCTAAGTAAAGTATAAAAAA